AGAAATTCATAGGTATAGGGAATGAAGGGGTAATGTTCAAGGGTTATAGCTTATATCTGGAGCGGACTCCAACTTTAACAAGGTAGATTAACGCAAGCAATTTTTTCTCCCAGCGTGTCAGAAAACTTGGCGATTAAATAGAGCCATTGGGAGTAATTTTAGAGACAGCTTGCCTTTCAAGCAATGATGATGAAGGAAAACAACAACAACAAAGCAGCAACAATATAGACTCCACTTAATGTATATCCCTAGATTAGTATTGTTTTAAGATAATAATTTTAGCTTTGTTTACGTGCCTTCCTATAATAGGGACACTTTGGAAAATGTGACAAAGGCTATTAAATGGAGAGTTTCCACAATGCGTAATTAATTTATCGTATTCACTGCCCAAAGATGGGGTGAATCCAGCTATTTAGATAATATCAGAAAAAGAAGGTGGGTGTCAATCTGGTTTAGAGAGCATCCATCAGGAGCTCTCCATGGTGCTGCAGAAATCCTGCCCTCTACACTTTTGCCTGCTCTTTGCAGATGCTGTCGAACCTTGAGAGTTTGGAGATGTCTGGACTTCCACTCCTGCTGGTTGAGGAATTCTAGGAGTTGAAATCCACAAATCTTAAAGCCGACAAGTTGAGAATCACTGGTCTACAGTGTAAATTTGTAATCCAGATGCTGCTGCAAAAAGATGCTATGTTAAAGGGTACTGAGGCATTTATAAAACGACTGCCATCATAGGCAGGGGTAGACAGAAAACCCTTTTACCAGAATAGAATAGAATAGAATAGAATAGAATAGAATAGAATAGAATAGAATAGAATAGAATAGAATAGAATAGAATAGAATTTTTTATTGGCCAAGTGTGATTGGACACACAAGGAATTTGTCTTAGGTGTATATGCTCTCAGTTTACATAAAGAGAATCAAATACATTCATCAAGAATAAAAAGATACAACACTTAGTGATAGTCAAGGTTACTAATAAGCTATCAAATGGTACTAGGAAATAAATAAATGCAATATAATTGAAAGATACTAGTAGCATGGTTATAGTCGTATGTGGGAAGAGATGGATACTAGTAAGGAAGAGAAGAATAATAGTAATACAGTCTCAGTAAATTATTTGACAGTGTTGTGGAAATTAGTTGGTAAGCAGAGTGATGGTCTTCAGGAAAAAAACTGTTCTTGTGTCTAGTAGTTCTGGTGTGCAGTGCCCTATAGCATCTTTTTGAGGGTAGAAGTTGAAACAGTTTATGTCCAGGATGTGATGGGTCTGTAGATATTTTCACAGCCCTCTTTTTGACTTGTGCAGTATACAAATTGATTGGGTCCTTTTCACTAGCACGTTCCCTTTCATTCATACTTTTTTTGCCCGTTCCCATAGCATATGGATATCGTCCCAAACAAAGGGTGCTGAGAAATGGCTATGTATCATTTTTACTTGTGAAAAATGCCTTTAGGGCTCATGTATAGCCCAGAGCCTTTCTGGGAGGTATAGGGAATACTAGAAACATTTTCTCCTCTTTGTGGCCTGTCAGTTTCCCCTTAGTTAATTTTACGTTAAAAGGCCTAAACGTAAAATCAGGTTGGGAGGCTGGGGGATACATATAGGAGGAAGCTGGGTGCTCCCTTCCTTAGGACTCATTTTTAGTCTTCTACCTATATGGGGAGAAACAGAAATATATAGTATCGGGTTCTATCTTGTACTGCTTAGTAGCGATTTTAATCTGCTACTTTCAATTAGCAACGTTTATTAAGCTGGAGGGAAAAAAAAGGCTTAAATGGCTGTTCTAGCAACATTATTAGCTGTACCACAATAAAAACTTGATTCATTCCCAAAGCATGTCATTACCGTAACAGATGTTTTATGCACTTTCCTGGCTAAAAATGTCCAGTATAAGGAAATTGCAGGTTAGAATGGAAGCGTGTACAGTATTTGTGAGTGTGCATTTGTGTGTGAGAGTGAGAATATGTACGAGTGTGTATAGAAATGGCAGAGAATGTTGCTGATTTAGTTCAGGCTTGTAGGAGAAGAACTGAGAGTGGAGTTAAATGAGTCATTAGCCCAGAGCTGTTATGTTCCCACAAAGGTCCAAGCCCAACCCTTCTTGAATTCCATTGACGTTTATCTGGTGCCAATTTACTGCTGAACTTTAGTTGTCTAGTTCTTGCCTATAGGCTTAAGGAATAAAACTTCTAAACTGCAACTTAATGTAGGGTCCTGATTCTGACAGTTTTGCTGGTTTTCTTTTACTCACTTCTCTTTCTTTCTCCCTCACTGTCCAGCCTCCTTGACTGCACCTGTTGCCTCATCTGAATCAGCCACATGTGTAGGTCTCTCCCTCTCTCTATGTTTTTCAACTAGTTTAATTGCAACCTGGGATGTCAAGGAGCCTACGATGGAGAAAGGAAAACCTAATGACTGTCAAAAAACTCTCTTATGGATATGTACATACTGTTAAATTGCATTTAAATGTACACCTGCTTTGCCATTTTCCATGATAACACACACGTTGGAAGAAATATCCATCTGGTTCAGTGGTGGGTTGCTCCCGGTTCGGGCTGGTTCGGGTGATCCGGTAGTAGTGATGATGTGACGTCAGCGAATCAGTTCTCTATGACTGTGAGCTGGGCCCTCCTGCCCGCCCCCGCGTTATTCCTACCTTTATTTGTCATTTTTTAGCCCAGCTGATAAGCGCGGCAGAGTGGATTGCTGTGTCTCAGCTGGAAAGAAATCTAATGCGCTTTTGCAAAGTGCGTGTGCGAAAAGAACCAGTGGTAACACCAGTTGGAACCCACCACTGATCTGATTCAGTTCCAAGTGGGGAGAATGACCGGAAACATGGAGGCTGATTGGAAAGATGGTTTATTGATGAACAGGACCACATGGATTTGAGGTCCTGGGCAGCTGAACACATGGAGTGGAGAGTGAGGGTTGTTTATACCCTCTCTTGGGCCTTGCCCTTGAGCTTCCTGTTCCTGTGCAAGAAATGTATTCTATTGGCTGTAGTCAGACTCCGATGGGGCCATGTGGGGTCATGTTTGTTTGAATCAAGTTTGGTTGAAACCTGGAGGGTGATGGAATGTCTCCAGGTGATTTTGCAATGCAGTGAGCCCTGCTACTTGATAATCCTATTATGTCCTGGTGGGTCATGTCTTAATCGCATCACCCTGGAGCTGAAGGTCTTTTGTTTTTGTAGATAGTCTGGCCCAGTCCTTCTCAATGGGCATCAAATATCTGCTGGGGGCAGGGAGCTGAAGTTCTGAGTTTCTGTCTCCCTTAAGATTTCCATTTCTCTTTTAGGGGAAATATAATATTCTGTTATTTTATCATTTCTGTTCCAAATCGTTTCCCAATCCTCTAATTTGATGTTATGTCCTACATTTTTTGCCAATAAAAATAAAATAAAAAATATTTGGGATCATTTTTTAACAGATATATACAATTTCAAATTTCAGAAGTAGAACATAATGCTTTCTAATTTTCTAAGCCTATGACTATGGATTTTAATATTATTTAGGAAATAACTAAATAAGAGCGTTATCTCATAATAACGTGCCTGATAAGGGCTAAGTAAGAATCTAGAATAATATAAGCATTTTAAGCAAGCTACCGTATTTTCTATGAGTAAACATGAGAACTTTTTCGTAACTCAATTTTTTGTTCACAAAGTTTGTGATCCTCGCTTGGCTAGAAGTTGGGTTGACTATAAGTGGAGGGGATTAAAATTTGTTTAGGTTAAACTGAGATGTTCAAACGTCCATTATGATAACACAGTCTTTCTTTATTCATCTTTCCTTAAGGGCAAAATCTTTTTCAGTCTGCGTTTTTTCGGCAACCTGCACTAATTCTCACTCAACAGTGGATTGGTATGTGATTGTCTTTTGAGTCATTTGCAGCTGTGATGTTTTGCACCTCACTTGCTGGAATGGAAAAAGGCAATCCCCCCAAAAATGTTCAGGGAAAGTTGAGCGCAAACACTCTGTCAGGCTTTTCTCTGATCAATATTTGAAACTGGAAAGCTTGCAGCTGGAGATTCAAGGACACAGCTCTGATAAGTTATTTTTTATTGCAGATGCTCGAAAATGGTTAATAACACAGAAAACCAGTTATTGCACACTGTAAGATTTATGTCATAGATGTCTTTTGTCTTTCTGTCCATCCAGCTCTCTCTCTATCCATCTGTTTTACCTGCCTATTTGTCTATCTATCTGACTCCACGTTTATGTCTGTTTCTTAATAAATAATAAATAAATAACTTTTTTGTCATTGTACGTGTATACACAGTATACCCATACAATGAAATCCACTTAACACCCAAAGACCAGGTCCAACACACATAACAATCCCCAAACACACTCCCACCCACCACAATTCTCCACCCCTAAACCACCCAAACATCCACACAACAGACCAAGTAATGCTGTCCAACAGCTCACTGACGGTGGCCCTTTAGTTCATTCTTGAGTGCAATTATTGCTCTGGGATAAAAACTATTCAGAAAACGTGTGATCCGAGTTTTAATTGTTCTGTATCTTCTGCCAGAAGGCAACAGTCCAAAAAGATTGTAAGCAGGATGGGAAGAGTCTCTGAGAATGTTATGCAACTTCCTCAAATAGCGAGATTCGAAGATGTCGTCCAGGGCTGGTAGCTGGAGTCCGATGATATTCTGGGCGGTTTTAATGGTTCTCTGTAGAGCCTTTTTGTCCGCTGCAGAGCTGCTCCCATACCATGCAAGACTGCCGTATGTCAGGACACTCTCAATGGTGCTGCGATAGTAGGACAGAAGTAGATGATGAGATAGATTTATCTTCCTGAGCATTCTCAGGAAGTACAGCCTCTTCTGTGCCTTCTTCACAAGCATGTTAGCATTCATAGTCCATGAGAGGTCATTCAAGATATAAATGCCCAGAAATTTAAAACTACCCACTTCTTCTGACCTTACCTTAACAGTTGATAACCCCTTGTAGGAGGAAAATTGACATTTCTGCATTTTTTCTTACAGGCCAATCTGTTCTTAGATCTTTGGTTCCAGTCTTCCATGCAGTGGTGGCATTCAGCCGGTTCTATCCGGTTCAGGCAAACTGGTAGCGCCGGCTGCGGGTGGCTCTGCCCACCCACCCGGATGTAATCATGTCCCATTTATCCATGTTTGTGATGCTCTGCGCATGAGCGGAAGGCCCCTACGCTCACATTTGCGAACCAGTAGCGAAGGTAAGTGAATACCACCCCTTTTTCCATGATCCACTCCCCCCTTGTCTCTATTTCCAGAGGAATTACACATGTAAAGAAGTACAAAATTCTCAAACAATGAAATTGTAGGCTAGTTGAGAAACTCAACAGAACTAGTGTTATGACTAAATCTTTGCAAAAATTTGCAATGAACGAACAAATGGAAACCCATCTTTAGCTTCCTCTATAAACAGAAGTTGTAATGTTTTAGAATAGAATAGAATAGAATAGAATAGAATAGGATAGAATAGAATAGAATAGAATAGAATAGAATAGAATAGAATAGAATAGAATAGAATAGAATTCTTTATTGGCTAAGGGTGATTGGACACACAAGGAATTTGTCTTTGGTGCTCTCAGTGTACATAAAAAAAAAGATACATTCATCAAGAATCATAAGGTACAACACTTAATGATAGTCATAGGGAACAGATAAGAAATCAAATCATATTAGGAAACAGTCAATATAAATCATAAGGATACCAGCAACAAGGTTACAGTCATACAGTCGTAAGAGATGGGTGATGGGAACGATGAGAAGATTAATAGTAGTGCAGACTTAATAACTAGTTTGACAATGTTGAGGGAATTATTTGTTTAGCAGAGTGATGGCATTCGGGAAAAAACTGTTCCTGTGTCTAGTTGTTCTGGTTTGCAGTGCTCTATAGCGTCATTTTTAGGGTAAGAGCTGAGATAATTTATGTCCAGGATGCAAGGGGTCTGTAAATATTTTCATAGCCCTCTTTTTGACTCGTGCAGTATCTCAATGGAAGGCAGGTTGGTAGCCATTGTTTTTTCTGCAGTTCTAATTATCCTCTGAAGTCGGTGTCTGTCTTGTTGGGTTGCAAAACCGAACCAGACAGTTATAGAGGTGGAGATGACAGACTCAATAATTCCTCTGTAGAACTGGATCAGCAGCTCCTTGGGCAGTTTGAGCTTTCTGAGTTGGCACAGAAAGAACATTCTTTGTTGTGCTTTTTTGATGACGTTTTTGATGTTAGTTTATAACTTTTTTTTCAGAGTGAGGGCCATATTCGTGCCTAAATTTATTTCCCAAAAAAGAAATGGCTGGTATCAGAGCAAAAATGAAATTTGACTTAATTTAAATTAAGTAGAATTCAATTAAATTCATTCAATGCAATTAAAATGATTACCCGCAAGTATTCATTTTTTTCTCTGTATCCTAAATTGCCTTCTAATGTTACTGTGTAGTCTACTGAATTAACTACTCTTGTGAAAGTAAAGTGGAGGTAAAGGAAGGTGAAATTTTCCATGTAACAAGCCTAGAATCACAATAGTAAAACAGGTGGACGTTTAGCCTCCTTCAGGGACTGAAGTCTGTTTGAAGATGACCACTGAATGAAACTGGAAAAAGAATTTGTCTTAATTTCATTCAGAATCTCAAGTCAGAAAGACGACAAATCCAGGAAAAGGAATTTGCTGGACAAAAATCAATAGATGGACAAGAACTATCAGGATGCATCTAAACTCATTTGTCTTGGTCTGGCTAGGATTAATTTAAAAACATAATGTGATGCTATGGTATGCAGCAAGTTAGACTATAACACAATTTACTTTTTTTTACAGCCAGCATAAAGTAAAAACATCAAGGATGTAACATAAAAACAGTTTATCAGTGTTCTGACGCAACTGATATTGAAAAGTTTGTAAGGGTAATGAGGATGGAATTAAGAGACAGGGAGGTAAAGCTAAAATTAAAGCCCAAATTTGTGGACTCCTGTAAATTGATTATGGTTAGGTAGACTTCAACTTCCAGGATTCCTCAGCCAGCCATGCTGAGTCAGCCAATTCTAGGAGTTGAAGTCCACATGTTTGGAGGCCCCTGATCTTGAGTATCAAAATGCCTCTGTGTGTGGCTGTTGTAACCTAGGCTCACTTAGGCATAAAAGACACACTTAGTCTTAAACAAACCTATTTTATTATAACAGCTGGGAATTACTTCATTCTCAGCTTAGTCCAAATTAATTCCAAAACAAGTCCTTCAGAAAAAGTCCTTCAGCCTTGTCACAAACCTTTATCTTTTTTGGCACCCTGCCAAAGGCTTTTCTTGGCAAAGCCCCACGAAGTTCAGAAACAAGAGATGCCGAATAGGAACAGATGTAGCAACGTTGCTTTCCTACAAAGAGCCCAAGAGCCTTTGCTGCTCTTTTAAGCCTTCTGGGAGGGGCCAATCATCTCCTGGCCTTACTCCTGAGTTGTCCTTTTTGCTTTAGCTGCTCTTGCCTTCTGGCAGCTCTTCGCATGCATGCACTAGGAACAGGCTCCTCCTGTTCCTCTGCCTCTCTGCTGTCCGCCTCTGGAGGCTCCAGAGTCCGCGCATCGCTCCCAGATGGCCCTGGCCCCATCTCTGCCTCTGACGCAGAGCCCTCGACCGGGCCTTCCCCTGACTCCAGGACTACCCATTGTCCTCCCCAGCCTCCACACTTTCCGACTCCGCTGCCAGCTCCGCAGGCTGCTGGTGGACCACAACAGTGGCTTACTAAATACAGTCTTTGGTTTCAGACTTACAATTTGAAAGGCAAGGCCTGTAAGGAATGAGGAAGGAGAAAGAGATTGTCAAACTTAAGGAATTCTCATTACGACCAGAGCAGGTAGCAACATCACTGATGGGAAATACAAAGGTAGGTCATCTTTGGGTACAAGCCTAAGCAGCAAAGATGACGGAATAATAATTATATATTACGATGACATGGAGAATACATAAGTGATGGGTCATCATTTTTCAGCTCAGCATCCAAACCTACATAACCCAGGTAATATCAAGCCATATTTTTGAATAGCGGGAGATCAATACCTACCTCTATACCTTTCTGTGTTTTAGGTGAGGAGACAACCATTGCTTACATTGGTTGCTTATATTTTCAGACATTTTTTAAAAAAACCTGTTTATTGACTTTCCAAATCGGATACTTGAAGTGTTAATACCACATTTTAATGCCTTGGTAAGGCCACACTTGGAATACTGCATCCAGTTTTGGACACCACGATGTAAAAAAGATGTGGAGACTCTAGAAAGAGTGCAGAGAAGAGCAACAAAGATGATTACTGGAGACTGGAGGCTAAAACATAAGAAGAACGGTTGCTGGAACTGGATATGTCTAGTCTTATGAAAAGAAGGACAGGGGGGTGACATGATAGCTGTGTTCCAGTGGTGGGTTGCCCCCGGTTCAGACCGGTTCGCTAGAACCAGTAGTAAAACCAGAGGAAGGCCCCACCCACCGCCCCAGATGTCGTCATTGGCAACAATCTCGTTGCAAACTAGTAGTAAACACAGCACACCCTTGCTGTGTTCCAATATCTCAGGGGCTGCCACAAAGAAGAGGGAGTCAAGCTATTCTCCAAAGCACCTGAGGGTAGAACAAGAAGCAATGGGTGGAAACTAATCAAGGAGAGAAGCAACCTAGAACTAAGGAGGAATTTCCTGACCGTTAGGACAATTAATCAGTGGAACAACTTGCCTCCAGAAGTTGTGAATGCTCCAACACTGGAAGTTTTTAAGAAGATGTTGGATAATCATTTGTCTGAAGTGGTGTAGGGTTTCCTGCCTGAGCAGGGGGTTGGACTAGAAGACCTTCAAGGTCCCTTCCAACTCTGTTATTCTATTCTATTCTACTTTGGCATCTGTTGCATATAATGCAGAGGTGATTACAGCCTCGGGACTTGGCTTTATGGCATTCCACAAGCTCCTGCACCGTGAATTTGTTGGCGTTCACACAACGTGTGGCTAACCTCTTCCAAGAGTAGCTGTGTGGATGTGGATCTCGGGCCCCGGCTGCCAGCCGAACACTGACATTTGGCAAATAGCCTTCCCAGAATAAACTATTCCAAAAGATGTTCGTCTCTATTCATCAGAAGCTGTCGCCCCAGGAATTCCGCCTCCCCCCCTCCGCCATGTAAGTCTCCTTTCTTCAGACAGATCTTTCCCCTCCTCCCCGTCTTCCTTGTGTTTCTGGTATATCTATGAAAACAGGGACATTATTAACATATTAATGATCAGATGTTATGTGTTAGGCATGCATTTTAAAAGTCCTTCGCCAGGCAAAAAAGAAGGATGGTTTGACAGTCTTAATTCAACACAAGACGACAAATGCAGCTTATAATGAAATTAACATAAATCTTTGGTGTTAATCATTTAGCATTATTGATAGCCATATTAAAAAGGAGCCTCACAATCTTGGACATGCAAAAGGGAAACGTGATGCTTTTTTCCAGCTGTCCTGAGATGCTCTGAGTCCATATGGTGCAAGAGAACTAGCTTTCTTTTCTAATTTTCCTCTTCGGTTTGAGCTGACAGCTACTCCCTCTTTCTTTCTTTCTTTCTCTGCAGAGTTTACTTTTTTTTTTTTACCGTGCTCGATCCCCCTCCCTTTCTTTCTTTTCTTTTCTTTTTTTTTTTCTTTTCTTTTTTTTCCCCAGAGTGCCAGATTTCTGGAGTAGGTCAAAAAACTCTCGGCATCTGTAGCTGTCATCAGTCCCACAGCCAGGCATAAGCGAAATCGCGAGGTGACAATGCCGCAGCCGATCTTCATCGGTTTTAATTTGGGAAACTTCACTTTCATTTATGCATTCAGCTCTAAAAAAATAAATAAATCAAAGAACGGCGTTTTGAATGGCTTCGGGTGCCTTTTGGAACGTGTCGCTGGAAGTGTGGGCATCTGGAAGGTGGCAGGGTGGGGAGGAAAATTATGTTACTTGACAATCCAACCATTGATAACTCTGTCATTTTTAAAAGTGTGGGGTGGGGGGGGGAAGGCTGGAGAGAAAGACAAGGAGTAAGCAGTTGTCTATTTTGGGACCATGAATGAATGAGAGATGGTAGATGGGGGGTGGGTGGGGACAGGAAGCGAGCTTTTGCAAATGGATCAACCTACTAATCAGAACTCTGCCTCTTTGGCAATTACCGC